GAAATATATAAAACTGAAAGAAATAAACTGCCAGCCAAGAATCATACATCCAGCAAAAATGTCCATCCAATATGACAACGAAATTAGATTCTTTTCAGACAAACTAAAGAATTGGTGAAAACCAGACTAACCTTATAAAAAAACACTAAAAGGAGATCTTTGGACAGGTAAGCAACAACAGCAGATAACAACCTGAAACTAACCTACATAATAATATCCTAGAATCAACACAGATATAGAAGTATGCAAAGTAAAAGAGACCTGAAGACTGAAAATAGAGAACCAGAGGTACAGTTGAAACAACAACAAAAAAGTCACAAAGTACAAAGAAGGAATAATGTACAGAACATCCAAATGAATACGAAACCAAGTAGATTACAGGAAAAAATTAACTGTAACCCTGAAAACTAGACCAAGCCCAACCCTTATTAGCCTAAACACCCTCATCTTACCCATAATGCTAACAATAAACAAATTCCTAGGCCTATCCTAGACCTAGCCAGAGCTTCAACCCTAATTCACCCTCCTTATTCCTAACTGTTGTTGTTGTTAGGTGCCATCGAGTTGGTACCAACCCTTATGCACAGCAGAACGAAACACTGCCCAATCCTGGGCCAACCTCACTATTGCTGCCATGCTTGAGTCCATCGATGCTGCCACTTGGCCAATCCATCTCGCTGGGGGGAGGGTCTTCCTGTTTTTCTCTGACCCTCCACCTTGTTGTTGTTAAGTCGAGTCAGTTCTGACCCGTAGTGACCCTGTATAGGGTTTACAAGGAGCAGCTGGTGAGCTTGAACCACCAACCTTGCAGTTCAAACAGCTTTGCAGTCTGACACATTAGCCCACTGTGCCACACCAGGACTCCTGTTTACATGATGTCCTTCTCCAGTGACTGGTCCCTCCTGACAGTGTGTACTAACTCCCTCCAAAAGATAATAGAATTTTTTTCCATAAAATTTTTGAAGTTCCCTTGTGTTATGTATAGATTGGCTGTTAGTCTGCAGTTAGAAAGTTTTATTATTATACCTTTTCTCAACAAGCTGTGAGTTATTTAGCATCCCAGTCTAGAGTACAAATTCTGGTCTTGAATTATTTTTCTCAAACCCTCCCCCTCCATTAAACGACATAATTTCCTTTTCTAAGCAAATTGTTTAGAAAACATAACTGAGGATCTTATTTATTCTCTGAGATGTAATTCTGAATACATTCAAAATATCCTAATGTAACATTGGTATTCAAGTTTAGCAGTTATTAGGCATTTATGTTCTGACAGTTTTAAAATATTTTTGTTTCTGTTGATTGTTTCCCTTTTATTTGTTTTTTTCATTTCTTTACACTTAGAGAAACTTACATCGAACAGGAACAGGGAGAAAATGCTAATGACCGAAATGATAGAGCTATTCGAGTAGCAGTAAAATGGTACAATGAACATTTGAAGAAAATGTCAGCAGAGAATCAGCTGCAAGTTATTTTCATTACAAATGACAGAAAAAATAAAGAGAAAGCCGTAGAAGAAGGGATACCAGCTTTCACTTGTAAGTGTAAATGTAAAATTCATTAAAGCATGTTTCCAAATATATATGAGATTTATCACCGTGCCCATGGGCGATGTTCACTTAACTATAACTTCTGATGACATTTTTGCATTTTTAACTTCTCAGAGTTTCTCCCCACCACTTGGAATTGGCTTAGCAACAAAAGCTTGATGCTTTGTGATCTGCTTAGACGTTATTACATCAATGGTTCCCCTTCAGAAAAAATTACTGTGTTTGATAGATATATTTTCACAAGTATGATTGCCTATGTTTTTTCATATAAAAGGGAAGTAAAAACCCTTGTATTTATCAGAAACATTACTGATTGTTTGCAGGTGAAGAATATATAAAGAGCCTGACTGCTAACCCTGAGCTCATAGATCGTCTTGCTTGTTTGTCTGAAGAAGGGGTATGTTTGGGTTTATTTTATTTATTTCAAAAGTTAAAAGTGTTAAAATAACCAGTTTGGGATATTATGCTTTGTTGTTAAGTACCGTCGAATTTGTTCCAACCCATAGCAACCCTGCATAGGGTTTCTGAGGAGCAGCTGGTGAGCTTGAACTGCCGACCTTGCAGTTCATACGGATTTACAGTCTGGCTCATTAACCCACAGCAACGCACCAGGACTTCATATTATGCTTATGGGTACCAAATTTCAAATGGAAATATTGGGTGGCTACCTAGTGCGGTAACAAAAATACCATAAATGGGTAGCGTTAGGGATCATTAATCTAGTTTATCTCTTTCAGCATCTGGCAGCCAGAGCATTTGCTAGCTTCGTTGGCTTATAAAGACTCTTACACAGTCTTCCTCCTGTATCTATTCTGCTTTTTTTAAAACGACTATGCTCAGAAGGTTGAGGACCTATTCTAGTATTGCCTCGTTAACATAACAGAAGAAACCCCCTATTTCCAATCAGGGTCACATTCACAAGTATAGAGATTAAAACCCCAACATACTATTTTGAGGGGCACAATTCAGTCTACAATAGTGGGCAAGTGAATTCATTGTAGAAGGAATGCAGGAGAGGGATATATAGTTTTCCAGTAAAATTTGTGGCTAAGTAGCGAGGTGTAATTTTTTGTCATTGTTGGAAGTTTCAATTTTTTATTTCCGTTTTTTATTTTTAACTTTTTATTGTGAATTAAATGAAGGTTTACAGACCAGATCATCAGTTTCATAGTCAGTAAATCAAACACTTTGTTTGATCTGAATGATTTCAATCCCCTCCATGGCACAACCATTATCCCACTTCCTCCTTGTTCTTATTTCCATCCCACCCCCCTTATCAACCCTTCTCAACTTTGTCATTAGATAAATGTTGCCCTTTTGATCTTGTATGATTGACCATTTCATGGTGAGCATACCTTTCTTGTGTTGTTGTCCCCCTTATATACCTGTGTACTGCTTTGGCTGAAAATTGGGCCACAAGGAGTCACTTGGGTTCCAGACCTGAAGGGTGACCAGTTAGTTCCTATCAGTCTCTTTCTGACCAGTGAGCCCAGTCTTTTTTATAATTTTGAGTTTTGTCCCACATTTTCTCCCACTCTATCCAGGACCTTCTAATGTGATCTATTAGGTGTAATTTTTTAAATTGAAATTTTAAAAATTGCCCTATAAGAATGTTGTTGTTGTTGTTAAGTGCCGTTGAGTCGATTCCGACCCCTAGTGACCCTGTGGAGTTTCCGAGGAGCCACTGGTGAGCTTGAACTGCTGACCTTGCTGTTCAAATGGCTTTGCCATCTGACACTTTAACCCACAGAGCCACACCAGAACTCCCCCTATACGAATAGGAAACATTTATTTCTCACATCTTTTTTGCTGGCCAACCACTTTAGCAAGCAAGATGCCCTTGTCCATGTACTGGTCACTTCTGATATGTCTGGAGTATGAGAGACAGAGTCTCACCATCCTGGCTTTGTAAGGAGCATTGTCACTGTACTTCCTTCAACACAGATTGGTTTGTTCTTTTGGCAGTCCACGGTACTTTTAATTTTCTTTTCCAGCATGACAACTCAAATGTGTCATTTCTTTTACAGTCTTCCTTATTCATTGTCCAGTTTTCACATTCATATGAAACTATTGAAAATACTATGGCTTGGGTCTAGTGCATCTTAGTCCTTAAACTGGCATTTTATAGAAAGTTGTCTTTGCTACAACAAGATGCTTTTATTTGTTTTTAAGTAGTGGTAATAGTTACGTATTAAGTGTCCAGAAGACTTACTGCATCTTTTGATTTGCTTATTTCACAGAATGAAATAGAAAATAGAAAAATAATATTTTCAGAACATCTCCCCTTAAGTAAGCTGCAACAAGGCATAAAATCTGGTACATACCTTCAAGGAACATTTAGAGCCAGTAGAGAAAATTACTTAGAAGCTACGGTGTGGGTGCATGGAGATGATGAAGAAAATAAAGAGGCAAGTATGAATATAGTTCATTGAACACCAAAATTGTTTTTACTCATTATATTCTATAGTAGGTATTAAAAATTTCAGACTAACTGCTTTAAATTCCACATTTCCACCTAATTTTCAATTCAGCCTATCAAAGTAGATACTCTTGTTTTCATTTAATCAATCAAGACCTTGAAATTTAGAAAGGTAAATAATTTTTCCAAGGTCTATTGTATTAGTGTAAGTAGAGTGGAGCTATGAACACAACCCATATTTTGTGATGCATGTTTCTTCTACATGATAATTTGATAATAAGAAATAGAGAAGGACTTTTTGGACTCTATGTGTACACACATATGTAGGAGAAATGGTGATACACAGAGACATAAGAACATATATAGATTTTGCCACTAAAAATATTTGAACCATTTACTGTTTTCTACAGATAATCTTACAAGGACTTAAAAATTTGAACCGAGCTATTCATGAAGATATTGTGGCTGTGGAACTTTTTCCCAAGAGTCTATGGGTAGCACCGTCTTCTGTGGTTTTACATGATGAAGGTCAAAATGAAGATGATGTGGAGAAAGAAGAGGAGAAAGAAAGCATTGTATGAAACTATACAGGTTTCCTATGTTTATTTTTATCTATATAGCTTTGTGTTATTAATGTGTCAACTTTGTAAAAGCTGAACAAATTTTATTACAGATTTATTGAAGGAAATTATAATTCTGTAGATTTAATACATGTCATACGTATGGTTTTTGTTTTTTGTTTTTCCCTCTAAGTCTATAAGTGGACTCCTGATGTGGCTCTATCAGATATGCACTAGATTCCGAACCACTGGGTTGACAGTTCAAACCCACTAGCTACAACAACTTTTAAATCAATGTCTTATTTTGCTCACGTAAATATACAAAGACTATTAAGTTGATTCTGAAACTCAGTCTACATGAAAATATATACATGATCTGATTTCTTGGGATCTAAAATAATGCTGAAATGCTCTTGTATAGGTTTAAATTTTTCTTTTAGTTGTATTTCTGGGCCCATATAATTGTGTGTGTCTGATAATTTCTTCTCTGTTCTGCTTGATGCCACAAGGTCCAACGTTCTAACCCACCAGTCACTCCTCGTGAGAAAGATGAAGCTTTCTGCTCCCAAAAAGACTTAAAGCCTCAGAAACACTATACAGGATTGCTATGAGACCAACCCAGCACTTAGCAACAACAGCAACGCTAATATTTATTATGAAGAGAATGTTTTCAGTTAGTTCTTACTAGCTAAAAACTCTACCTGATATGACCTTATTATTTCCCAACTTTTCAGTGCAAGAATAATATAAGTTGGAATTGATTGTTCTTATTCTGTAGGTTATATTTATTGCTCTATTTTAACATTGTCCTTGCAAAGTCCAGACCATAGGAGAGAGATTTGTTATTGTTAAGTGCCAACAAGTCGACAACTCAGTGGCCCTATTTAGGGTTTCTGAGGAGCCATTGGTGGGCTTGAACCACTGACCTACTAGTTCAAATTGACCTTGCAGTCCAGTGTTTACCCTACAGTCCTTAGAGGTGAAAAAAGTCTAGAAGTAAAATCACCCAGGACCACACATCTGATTGTATAAAGTAGTCTTAACTCTGAGGTTGTAGATACGTTTTCGTCAAAAAATCCTCATATCAAAACTGAAAGGTGTTTCAACTTTGACATATTTATTTGGCTATATTTTTTTTTTCTTTTTTTTGGTACTGCTTTACTATTATGAATCGATTTAGAATAAAATAAATCTATTTAGAATAATTTGTTAACGTATGTCTTGTCTGGAATTTTGAATGCTTGAAAGTATTAGTATCATATACATACTCTATATTGGGGGGAAATTAAGTCATAATTGAAGCAACAATAACTGAAGATTTTCATTTTTAAATCTTAGCTAAAGACTGCTGTAAATGAAAAAATGTTAAAGCCAACAGGTAGAGTTGTAGGAATAATAAAAAGGAATTGGAGACCATATTGTGGCATGCTTTCCAAGTCTGATATTAAGGAGGTAAGTAAAGAACATATTGTTATGTAGTAATAATTTGGAAAAACTAAACAAAAAACCCCTTTGTTCCCATTTCTCAGGGTTGGGTTTTTTTTTTTGGTAAATTCCTTTTCCTTTTTTTCTAGTCGAGAAGACATCTCTTTACACCTGCTGACAGGAGGATCCCTCGAATTCGGATAGAAACCAGACAGGCTTCCACATTAGAGGGGCGCAGGATTATTGTTGCTATTGATGGTTGGCCCAGAAATTCTAGATACCCAAATGTAAGCTTAGAGTGTTCATTTTATTTTAAGATATTTTATTACATAGTTGGGAATATATATATATATATATATATATATATATATTTTTTTTTTTTTTCCAATGAAAATAAAATCAACTGTTATATAGAATTTGTACTGAACTTTTAAGGAATTTTTCACAATGCTACCTTATAACTAATGTATCCAGTTTGACAAGCAATATTATGAAATCCTAATGTATATCATAAAAAAGATGCTTGGTTTCTAAGTAAACCAAAAAACCATACCAAACCCATTCACTCATAGCAACCCTGTATAGGGTTTCTGAGACTAAATCTTTATGTGAGCAGACAGCCTCATAGTCCTCCCAAGAAGCAACTAGTAGGTTTGAACCTCTGACATTGCATAGTGCCTAACCCACAAGGTCACCAGGGCTTCTTTAGTATTTAAATAGATGTAAATAAATACATTTTGAAAGTACTGTGTTTGAAGCAACTTTAAACCTTAACGATATCAGAAAATAGATGCTTTGTGGCTACTTTAGTTTTTGCACGTAGCATATGTGCTGTACATATTTGTATATCGTACAGTTCCCATGTGCTGTTTTCATAATTGTCTATGCCAACATTTTATATAGATTGCTTACCTCTTTTTTTTTTTAATTTATTTATTTTCTTTCCAATGGATTTCATGATAAGTTACCATCTTGATGCCTGCTTATATCGGGGCTTGGTTCCCAGCATGAGACCTTCACCAGTCTACCCTGGAATTTCTAAACCAGCCCCTCTTCCAGCTGGATTTTTTTCATGCTTTGCAAACCGATTTCTGTAATGCAGGAAGAAATCCCTTTTTCTGTCCCAGATACAACCTGCTGGCCCATCCCAGTAGGTGTGCAGACCTGTATACTTAAGCAGAAGAGGGCACTCAGCTGAGTAAAGCCAGTGGAGTGCAGCTGTGTGCATTTCACCCCAGTGTCTGGCAGCCTAGCTGTTTGAATCTCCCGGACTTAAGAGCTGAGGGCACAGATGAAATATGTCCAGCTGGTCACCTGGGGACCTCATGGGGCCAGGGCAATTTGTGCCTGCACCCATACCATCTTGCTGTCCAGCATCATGTGGAGCCAGCACCACCGGGCCCAGGTGATACTGACAGTGAACCCCACCCACCATGGAACCAACCTCATTTGCGTGGCCCTGCACCCATCTCTGCTACGTACTTGAGTGCAGATTAGCTACAAAAAACTCCATTACCCTCAGATCTCCATTGTACACATGGGTTCAGTTGTTTATATTTTGATTACCAAGCTGCTATCAAACTTAATTGACTATTACTTACATATTTATTATGCAAATATGATTTAAAAATAACAGTTTTGAACCGTTGAATGAGAGTGAATAATGCCAAAATTCACTTCTGGAAATGTCATGAAACATTCACAATCAGTGGGTGAATGTGCTTTGCCAGACTTTTTACATACTTTTTCATTTCTGCATGTTATATGTGTGTGTGTTAGTTATTTGAGTGCAGAAAAATTTAGTAATGAGATGATGTCAACTAAAGAACTGAATCCGCTTGACATCTCCATCATAAACCACTTGAGAGGTCTTGTCATTTTCACCTTTAAGTTACAAAGAGGTCATTTAAAATAAGTTGTTATGGGAACATTTAGATATATTAGATTGATATATAAATGATCAAGAAATTAATTTGAAGAAAAGATATAAATTGCCAAACTGTAAAGTATATGTTTCTAAGAACAGCTTTTGGTTTTAGGGACACTTTGTAAAAAATTTAGGTGATGCTGGAGATAAAGAGACTGAGACAGAAGTCCTACTACTTGAACACGATGTTCCCCATCAACCCTTCTCTCAGGCTGTTCTTAGCTTTTTGCCAAAGATGCCGTGGAGCATTACTGAGAATGTAAGTTGAAAACAGTTCTCACTGTCTATATAATTTATTCTATGCATACTTGCTTTGTTTAAGCTTTTAAACCAGTATTTTTGCTCTGCATTTAAGTAGGTATTGTACTCTTGAATATTCCAGAAATCATTGGCTGCTGTATTGAGAGAATTTTTCTAGAGAGGAGATGCTAGGATATGACAGGTTTTTCAGATGTGAGGAAACTGTCATGAGTTATAAATTGTAATGTGTGATTATCATTAAGAAAATACAGCTAGGCTTTTAAATAGATGTTGATTTCATTGATATTGACAGCTCTATTGCAGTAGTACTGTCAAAGTAATAGTTTATTTCTTTGTACTATGGCATGTTCTAGGACATGAAAAACAGAGAAGACTTAAGACATCTGTGTATCTGTAGTGTGGACCCACCAGGATGTACTGATATAGATGATGCTCTACATTGTAGAGAACTTGAAAATGGAAATTTGGAGGTATTGTAACGACTTTGTTATTCAAATATAGTCTGTTTACTCGGAAACATTATTTGATGGTTTCCATGGGTAGGATGAGAATGAAAATCACTGACTAGAGGGCAGACACATATTGGGTGAAGAAGAAGGCAAAAAGTTAATTTATTAAAATAAAAGCAAATATTATTTTGTTTTTGAGTTATTTTCTTTTAAACCAGTATAGAATTTCAGTTTGTGTGTACTCATGCCAAGTACAACTGGTTGTAGCTACAGGAACTGGTACACTGAGTTCCTTTTCAGTATAAATCAATTTATTTTCATCAAAACCCCATTCATGTTGTTGTTGTGAGGTGCCATCAAATTGGTTCCGACCCATAGCGACCCTGTATAGGGTTTCCTAGGAGCGACTGGTGATCTTGAACAGCCGACATTGCAGTTCAAACGGCTTTACAGTCTGGCGCATTAACCCAAAGCGTCACACCAGGACTCCAAACCCCATTCATACATTCACCTAATTAGGCATACTGATATCCTCTGATTTTTATCTTTTTAAGGTTGGTGTTCATATTGCTGATGTTAGCCATTTTATTAGACCTGGAAATGCTTTAGATCAAGAATCAGCAAGAAGAGGAACAACTGTGTATCTTTGTGAAAAGGTAATGTATTGAATTTAAATTGGAATTTTAATGTGTCTTTTATCATACGCTTTTTAATATAATTTCATTCTTTACCAAGCAATTCACATTTCTATACGTGCAATTCATTGATTATATTCTTCAAATTATATGTTCATTTTCACACTCTTTTTCTGAGCTGTTCCTCTTCCACTAACATAAACACACAGCCCCCTAAGGTTCCTATCTAATCTTCAGAATTGCTGTTGCCAATTTGATCCAATATAACTAGATGTTAAAGACAGCACAGTGCTCCAGGTAGACATTATTTCTAGGTAAACTAAGCTTTCATTTGGTTAAAGATGAGTGGAAATATTTTTAGTATAGGCTTTAAAGATTATTTTAGGGCAGTAGTTTTAGGGGTTCCTCCAGTCTTCATGGATCTAGGAAGTATGCAGCACATGAAACTTTGAAATTCTGTTCTGTATTTCCCCCTTTTGATCTGGATTCTTCTATAGAATCTTTGATTAAAATGTTCAGTAATGATAGTTGGGCAACATCCAGTTCTGGTCTCATGTCATAGGAGGTTGTTGTACATGGAAGCAAATAGCCACACGTTTCCATTTCATCATCCTATATCTGACTCCTCCTTCTGTTGCTCCAAGTGAATAGACAACAATCGCTGTGCCTTGAATGGCTCCTTGCAGCTTTTAAAGCCTCTTAAGCACTGTGCAATGAACTAGGAGGTAGAAGTGCTGAACATGTTACTTGGCTGTGAAACCAAGATCGTAAACCTATACGTATCTATGCTTTCTTTTTTATGATAATGTTATCTGAAGTGTTGCCTGAGGAAATAACAACTTTAGCATTTATTGAAACTTG